AGGACATGCAGCTGCTGACTACTATTCAGTAGCACCAGCAACAGCGCCAGTAACATCTGCAGTAACAGCAACATCAGGAATGGCCACCAATGCCAGTGTAGGTGGCGTCATGCAGACCAACAGTGGCGTTGTAGTTTCCACCGTGGGCGGTGCCAGCGCTATGGGCATCATCGGTAGTGGAAGTATGAGTGGCAGCAATATAAATTTGAATGCGGCCTCTATGGCGGCAAGCAGTGCGGTGACAGCGGCAGCAGCTGCAACGGGGACAACAGCTGGAGCCGCGTCAGCGGCCAGTGGCATTGGCAACAATCAAGGTTATTACCAGTTGAGTGTGACAAGTAAGTTCACAGAGAAGAACTTTTTCGAACTGAATTATTTATTTACTTTGCTATTCATTGCTTTTTGCTTACAGTTGAAGAAGCTTCATTGCGCAATAATGGTTTTCTAAAACCTAATCCATACGTTGAATTGGTAATCGATAATAAAAGTAAACGTAAAACTGATGTGGTGAAGAATACTTATCTACCCAAATGGAATGAGGAGTTCACAGTGCTGGTATGTTGATGAATCGTTGTACTACAGTATATAAGAATAAATAGAAAATGCGATTGACTCATCCACTCGCGCGCATACACACAAGCATGCATGGAAGTTGCGCGCAAAGCTGTCCACACGTATAATGCTAGCTAGCTTGAGTGAGCACGCAGCGATAGCGAAATATTTAGATATCTTTGGAATTGTCCATTTAGGAATTACTAATTAAATAAGCTTAGTAAAATTGGTAAAATCGGCTTAACTAAGCAAGGACGACGAATAGCTCGTCTGGTAGCTTGTTGTTAGTCACAATTAGTGTACTGCTTTCTTTCTCACGATGACCCTTAATGACCGTTAAATATATCTCTGCGCGAGTTTCGATTGTTTGACAAAATTAAGCGCGATATACATAAATTTGTTTGGTTTAGTTGGCATTTTATCCTCGGTAGCCCCAAAACGCGATGAAGAGCAAAAAAAAAAAAGGAAAAGAAATACCTATGTATTGTGTGTAGAAAAGGCGATGTGGTGAACCGTAGAGACCGGAGTGGATTGCTTATGTCCGGATCTCCTCCTCGACGGCAGCCCCTTCTGCCCACGATTCTACCCAGCTATGTACATAGCTTCATTGGCATATCTTTCCCAATTATCAAGTTTATTCCCAAACTAACCAACAAAGCCTATTCTCTGGCGAAATCATTTCGTTCGTTCATCTTTACATCGTTTGGGAAATGAGCAAAAGAAATTTCAATGCACACAACATACAACGGTGATACGCGGATGGTTCAAAAACTGATTAATCTATAGGAGCAGGAATATATAACCCTAAACTAACGATTTCCCTAGGGTATAGGAAATTGAACAGCCTAGGGCAACACAACACTGTACAACTGAACTGGGTGCTGGGGCATAAAGACACACAGGTTAGCATACTGACAATGGAAGCAACAGTGACACGGGCAATATTCCAGAATCCTCCCATGCCGTAGCATTACATACAATACGAGAGAAGTTGAGAACACAATAGGGGCGGGGCCTCTTAGAAGCCTCAGTTCTCAGAAGGCGGCGAGCTATGCGTTCTACTCCGCATTGGAAGATAAAGCTGGTGATCGGAAAATTGTTAAAACTTGTTTATCATCAGCCTTCTTTTTACTAACTCTTGGCAACACAGCACACCAGCTCTTGGTCTTATGGGAGTGTTTCATTAAGGGCCAATCAGTACAAAAATCTGTAGTTAACCGCCGATTCTGAGTTAACTACGCACTGTGACTTTGGCCCTAAGAGTCATAATAGTGTTATAATCCATAAAAATTTAGTAAAGTGTTCAGAAGTGACCGCAACATTTTCTTCAATGTTGGGCTTATAGCTCTACCGATTACCAGTAGCTCACTAGAACAAAATATGTATCCATTTTTACTATGGGAGTATGTACATATATCTCGAGTTTTTGATTTTTTGGATTATGACACTCTTGCAGCAAATGTGCGATATGTAGTATGTATAGATAGACAAATAGCGATTGCGTTTTAAATAATTCTGGAGAATTTAAAATTCACTTAACACAGCTGTTTGTTCGTAAATGGGAAAATACTGTATATTTTTAGCTTTTACTTTAAAAGCGGCTACACTCGTGTCATATTACTCACAATAAGTATAGCTGCATACACACATAGACATATGTATGTGCATTTGTACGTATGTATATATTTGCGTGCATTATCGACGTTCGATATACCATTATGTATAACATATATCAATTTAATATTGATTTTAAAGTAATTGTTTTGGCAGGTCTCTTCAAATAAAATGTCCATTGGCCCGGCTGCGGCTTTTACAAATTCTATTCAAGTAGCACACAGCAAAATTATTGTCAACTTTAATAACTTTCGATTTTAATTTATTTCCCACCATGCAAAACATGAGAAATAGGCAACAATCGTCAATGGCAACAAATTGGCGACTCACCGATTTATTGCTGTGGTGACAAATCGGCAACATCACTTCATTCATGTCAATTTTGAATAAAAAAGTTCTCAAAAATTCCGAAACTTATGAATATGGCGTCAATAGTATTGGCCAAAAGCATCTAAATTATGCCCAAGGACAAGATTGAAAAAATATGAAGCCTCACAGCGAGAAAATGAATTAATTCCGATTGTAAGTTGCAATTTGGTATACAAAAAAATAAATGAAGTATTAAAAAGAATAAAATTATTCCAAATATCGCCTGAAGCGATAAGAAAAGGACTTATTCAGGTAATAAGAAAACGACTAGCCCAGGCGAGTTGCCTTCGGCGGACGTTTTAGGAAATCGATTCGATGGAAATATTACCGGCAATAAATTTGTTTCCGAGGGCGACACATTTTCTTATTGCTGGCAACACAAATTGTTTGGTGGGTTATATTTTGTTACTTTTTTGGTGGTGTAGACAAAATTTCAGAGTGAGAGTGCATACAAACGTACATGCATACAATATGTATGTAAATATCACCGCAAGCCCACTTTGTCTCCACACGACAATCAAACGCTTTACGCGTTCCACCTTAATTTAAGTTTTTTTTTTGTTTTCGCGTTTGCTTACTTTTAACTTTTATTCATACGTATACATATGTACATACGTATACTCGTACATACAAACATACTGTTTGCATTGCAATTTAAGGCGAAGTGCGTCAATATTTGTTTGATATTCAAGCTCTGATTATAGATTTGTTTGGCCGGCTACCGGGAAACGTCATTAATATGTATGAAAACGTGCAACGCATGCGGTTAATTATTACATATGTATGTATGTACATAGATACATACATGAGCGCTGGTGCTAAAAGGGTGCATGTACATATAAGTACATACAAATGTACATTAGACCGTACCACCTTACAAGCACTCAAAAAAAGTTCGCCGTATACCCTGTGTCTATAAAGTACTAGCAATTACCCGGCGTGCTTCGCTGCGCCTTAAATGTATTTTTGTGTTGTAACTCTCCCCCTAAGCTCTTATGGCCTCATTTACAAAATATTTTTAAAGAACTTTATGAAGTTAGATTTAAAAAAATCGATCTATGAAGCATTGTTTATTTTTTTTTTGAGTTAATATATTTTCGAAGGTAATTAGAAAATATGTAAAGAACCGACTTTCTCTTGGAAATTTAATTTATAATCTTATAACTGGAGTCTACTATCGCACCCTTNCAAAGCAATTTGGAAAGTATATTTTTCGCCGAGTTTTCTTTTTGCGGTACGGTCTAATGTATGTACATACCTACGTACATACATTAGTGTGCGCCTTATTTTTTAACTTTAACTTACAAAGTGCCTAAGACTTCACCTAGTCCTGTGTGTGTGCTTGTGACCTAGCTTGGTCACAAAACCGTGTTCTGCGAAAAATTTTCAATCTCGGATAACGGAAAGATGAAATTTTTTAACAAAATTGCCTGAAAAACATTGAAACAAATAAACTTGTTTTAATGATTTATGTATCGACTATTTTTTTTTTAATTTTTGTAAAACTCCATGAATTTGCCCAACTTCGGGCCCTCTGAAGCATGTATTTCCGTTAGCCGATTTTGAAAGTTTTGTGCAGGGCATTTTTTATGGCCAAACAAGCCTACCTAGGGGGCTTTGCTTTTTAGTACCTTTAAAAATTATTTACTCTATACAAACAAGGCGCACACTAATGTTCATAAGTATATATGTAACGTGCTTTTTATTGCTATAAATGTAATTTTGTTCCTTAAGTAATTACCGTGTCATTGGCATTTACTATTTTTCGGTCAACGGGTCAAACTGACATCAAAAGGACATGACTGTTAGCTCCTAACTATAATTTGAGTGAGGAGTGGTGATTATACAAAAAAATCCGCTTACCGACAATTCGAACCTCGGATCTTTCGAAGGTCACGCCAGTGCTTTGAGCACTCGGCCATTGCGACTGTTGGAGCAGCGAGTGCAAAATGATAATCATATCGATGGTCCTCTGCAATAACGACACAATTCAAAAAATAAAACCTCCTACTACTGTTAAGTGGGTCTTGTCTCTAATCCTTATCTACTCTATGTCCAACCCTTACTAAAGTAAGTAGTAGATAGATATATAGATAATAAAATGAGGTTTGTACCGCTATTGTGTCCTCCACTCTTCAGAATACCTCCTTTAAACCTAAGCTGCTGACAACGTTGAACAATACTTTTGGGTATAGGGAGTGAATGTGCTTAAGCTGTGACCACATTGAGCCTAAACTTCTCTCACATCTTCTGCAGACTGCGTCACGCTCGGTGAGGATGTGTCCTCTACACTTATAGAGTCGCAAAACCGGCAAGGGTCTCTCGACCATTCCCCCAGCATGTATAGACATCCTCTCAGCCTGCAGTGTCCTGTGAGGTTACCTGTTATTACTCTAAGCTTCTCCTTTGAGAGGTCAAATATACTTTGGAATCTCCTTTTGTTATACCCTCTTAGTAAACTCTTTGCCTGCCGCATTCCTGACGAACTCTACCTCCTAAGCTCCTCTCTAAGAGTGTTGGGACCCACTCCTAGGAAGGGCGAGACAGCCAACCGCCTCGTTATCCTCCACTCCCTTGTGGCCAGGTACCCACGCTAATTTAAGCTTCTCAATGCACTTATGGACCAGCGACAATTTGACCTCATAGGATATGGGGACGTTGAGTACCGCCTGACTATAACTTGGGATTATGATTCTCTAGTTTCTATACCCTCTACTTATGATTGTATCCGCACTAGGGGGATTCAGAAAATTTTAATTTTTCTTTCCTCGGAACCATGCTCAAAAGTTTCGTTTAGACGCCAAAATAAGTCTCAGCAAATATGAGACCTTAATGTTAATAAACGCACTTTTCGATTTCCCATAAGAATAACACAGGAAAAATTGTTTTTTTTTGCAATTTTTCGTTGTCTATGGGTGTTTTGAGATTTACCAGATATTTTTAATGTTTTTTTTAAATATGTAGCTTTTCGGATTAAACAAGAAACTTTTTCTCGTGACTTGGCAATTTTTTCCAGATTTTTAAGTTTTTCGAAATTTTTTTTGTGGACTTTGCGGGTTTTTATGAACTAATCTGATACAAATTTGGGAGTTTTGGAACTTTTTTCAAGAAGTTTCCATCAGTTTAGACTTACGCCATTTTTTTTTGGATTTCAGGACCTTTTGGCATTTTTTAATATAACTCGGGGTTTTTTCGGTCTTGTTTGTTCCGAAAAAATGTTTGATTTCTTCAGGCGAGTTTCGGCATATTTTCAAGAGTTTTCGAATTTATTCGTTAGGATTGTTTTTTGGAACTTAGACACAATTTATTCCGAGTCTTGTTTTCTGTGGTTTTATTTTGGCAATTTTGGGTGTTTTTCGGGACTTCAAATTTTGTTTTTTTCACAGTTTTCATGGATTTAGTATTGTACGACCTTTGTGATTTTTTGGTACGTATAACTTGGGACTTTCTGGGAACTTTCTGGAATGCTTTTGGTATAATTCGA